GGGGGGGTGTCTCAGACTGGGGCGCAGGCCCCGTGGAGTGGGAAGGTAATGGAAACACAAGGGGGCCCCCATCCCCTAAGCGAGCATGATGGCAGAGGGGACCCCATGATGTTCACGCCTCACATGGATTCCCCAATTCTCATTCTTCCCTCCCTCAGGGCTCACACAGATGGCAGAGGGGACCCCCCACTGTGGTTCCCCCCCCCAGAGGGTTCCCTAATTCTCATTCTTCCCTCCCTCAGGGCTCACACAGATGGCAGAGGGGACCCCCACCCCGGCCACGGCGGCCTCCCCTCCAAGGGGTTCATCAGTCACCGTCCTCCCCATCCTCACCCACCAAACACCCGAAGAGGGCGGGCTGGGTGTGTGCTGACCTCAGACCAGTCCAGGGCTGACCACTCCGGCGGGCATGTGGGGCCCTGGCACGCCTCTAGCACCGGGGGGCGCGGCTGCGGGCACGCGCTGTCATCCAGCGACTTCTCCTCCACGGCGGACACGCGGCGCTGGCACACCACCGAGCGGCTGCGCACGCCCGCATCGCAGCTGCGGCTGCACCGCGTCCAGTTCCCCACCACCCAGCTGTGGGGGCACAGCAGGGGTCAGGGCCCGGCACCCCAAGCTGGGAGTTGGGGTGTTACTTTCTCCTAACTCTTCCCAGGTGAACTAGCACTGGGTAAGGAGCACCCAACCAGCTGAGAGCAGGTTCAGCTGGGTGTGGAGGCTCACGCCTGTAATCCCAGCCCCTCAGGAGGCTGAGATCTGAGGATCCTGGGTCAGTGAGATTCTTCTCTCCAACTAACCAGCAAAAAAAATCAGGAATAGAGCTCACGTGGTAGAACTGAAAGTCTAAAGGACAGCAACCAGGCCCAGTACTGTCATGGGGGGGGGAGAATGAGGGCTGATTCCTAGGACTATTAGCTTGATTATTCCTTGACTATTAGCGTGAATTCTGGCTCCAGGACCATCTAGCCTGGCCTTTACCCTGGGAAACACTATGACTTTGACCCCATGAACTCCATAACATTGAGTTGTTTATTTAGCCCACACTGAGAGTTGAACTCAACCTCAAGTTCTGGCCTGGCCTTTTCTGCTCAAGGTTGAGCCACAGTTCTACTTCCAGCTTTTTTGCTGTTTAATTGGACATAAGAGTCTTATGGACTTTTTTTTCCCACTTCAACTGCCTTTGAACCTCCATCTTCAGAGCTCAGCCTCCAGAGTAGCTAGGATGACAGGTGTGAGCCACCAGCGCCCGGTGAACATTATAACTTAAAAATTATTTTGGGGGCTGGGAAGGTGGCTCAGTGGTAGAGCACTTGCCTTGCATGCATGAGGCCCTGCGTTCGATTCCCCAGCACCACATAAAAAAAAAGAAAAGCTGGAAGTGGCGCTGTGGCTCAAGTGGTAGAGCACTTGCCTTGAGCTGAAGAGCTGAAGGACAGCGCCCAGGCCCAGAGTTCAGGCTCCATGACCGGACCCCCCCACCCAAAAAAAAAAGAAAAGAAAAAAGAAAAATTATTTTGTCTGTACTGAGGTTTGAACTCAGTGTCTTGTGCAGGTACTTTACCACTTGAGCCACACCCCCAACTCTGGAGTCATGCCCGTGTGTGTGTGTGTGTGTGTGTGTGTGTGTGCGCGCGCGCGTGCGCCTGGGCACTGCCCGTGTGTGTGTGTGTGTGTGTGTGCCTGGGCACTGTCCTTAAGCTTTTTGGCTCAAGAATGGCTAGTCTACCACTCGATCCACAGCTCCACTTGTGGCTTTTTGGTGGTTAATGGGTAAGAAGAATCTCATGACCTTTCCTGCCTGGGCTGGTTTCAAAATATGATCCTCAGATCTCAGCCTCCTGAGTAGTTAGGATGACAGAACAAAGGATGAGCCATGGACAAAGCTTTTTTTTTTTTTTGCCAGTCCTGGGGCTTGAACTCAGGGCCTGGGCACTGTCCCTGAGCTTCTTTTGCTAGCACTCTACCACTTGAGCCATAGCATCACTTCCAGCTTTTTCTGTTTCTGTGGTACTGAGGAATGGAACCCAGGGCTTCATGCATGCTCCGCCAACACTCTACCACTAAGCCACCTTCCCAGCCCCAGACAGCATTTTTGTCTGCAACCAGCCTTGGACTGCGAGCCTCCTACCTCCAGTGTAGCTGGGATGACAGCCAAGAGTCCCCTTGTCACTCCCCAGACCACAACACCTCACTGCAGTGCTCAGCCTCGTCTCCCAGTTCTGTGCCCCATCTTTCCTAGGGACATCCTCACCCCATCCTGGGCACTCACTCAGGTGGGCAGGGCTCCGTGTTGCAAGCGCGCTGCCTCTTGGGCAGTTTGCTGTGGGCGCTGCAGTAGTGGTGGGCCACGGTGGAGCGGTCCAGCTGGTTCCGGCACTCCACCACCTGCACCTGGCTGCCTGGGGGACGGGAGGGGCTCGCTCAGCCCGGGGCCAGCCCACAGCGTCAGACGTAGGTGTCTACTGCCCACCCCTGAGCCTGCCCTGGCCTCACCGCCTGCACACTGGGCTGAGCACTTGGTCCAGGGCGCGTAGTGCCAAGAGTAGGGGGGCAGGGTGTCCCGGGCGATGGGCGCGTTGAAGCGGTAGCGAAGGGCAGGAAGCTCTTTGCGAGCCAGCACCTGGGGTGGGTGGGTAGATGGGTGAGAGGGGAAGGTGAGGAGCAGCCAATGAAAAACGTCTCCCAGAGTCTCCATCCCTCAAAAAAAAAAAAAAAGAAAAAGAAAAAGAAAAAGATGCTCAGGTCCTCCTGTATCTTGCCCACCATCTTGTTACCATGACAACAAGTGACGCATTAATGGGTCCCAGGGCTTCAAGGCTCTGGGCCTGGTCTGGTCCCTGACGCAAGTGAAAAGTAGTTCCGGCTAGGGGCAGGCGATGAGGCTGGGGGGTCCCCGGCAGGCCCTCCAGCAACAGGGACTCCTGGTCTCCCTTTAGAGCTGGGGGGATGGCACAGGGGTCAGGAATGAGTCACAGTGAACCCTCCAACCCCATCAGATCTGCAGTCCTTACCCACCCCCATTGCTTACCCAGGTGACTGAGGGACAGGTTCAGGTCCAGGAGGAAAATGTGGACTGACCCTTTGGGGATCCAGACGACATCCTCATACCCTGGATGGGGGAAGCTCAGATGTTACCCACTATGCCGGTCCCCCACAATTCACCTGCCCCCAACCTTTGGGCCTTTGATAATTATAGCTATTACTCCATTACAGAAGATAGCCACGGGACCACGGGAAGTGCATGTCTTATAGATCAGAAAATGGAGGCTCTGTGGCTAGGTGGGATTTGAACTCCAACTTTTTTACTGCGCTACCAACCACCTACCTCCTCACTAAGCAGCAAGGCTGGGTAAGGTAGTGGGGAAGGGCGCCAAGGTGTCTTTGACCTACTGGGGCTTGAAATCAGAGCCTCATGCTGTTTGCTTAGGTTTCTTGCTCAAGGCTGGTACTCTTCCACTTGAACCCTACCTCCACTGCCAGCCTTTTGCTGGTTTCTTTCCCAAAGGCTGGCTTTGAACTGTGATCCTCAGATCCCAGCTTCCTCGGCAGCTAGGATGACAGGTGTGAGCCACCTGTGCCTCTTATATTATTCTTATTCCTCTTTCCTTTCCTTCCCTTTCTCTCTATTTTGCTTTAATTATTTTTCAGATAAACTCCCTTTTGCCTGGGCTGGCCTAGGACCAAGATCCTTCTACCTAGGCCTTCTTCAGAGTTGGGATCACGAGCCATGAAGAACTCTAGCTGGCTTGTTGGTTGAAATGAGATCTTACGTACTTTTTCCCCCCTCTAAACCCTGGTTGGCCTCACATCACGATCCTCTAGAGCTCACACTCCCAAGTAACTGAGGTTACAGATGGGCACTCCATTCCATCTTTTCTTTATCCTCATTATTCTCCCTAACTCTGGCTCATCTGTAGAATATCATTCTCCACAAAGCTATTTGGTTCTTTAAAAAACCCAATCAAGTTCTGCCTGGGGAATGACACCCACATTCTAAGACCCACCCCCAGCAGTCCGTGTGCAATCCCTGCTGACTCCTGACTTGCTCTTACCATCCCTTCAACAGCACCCCAGCCTCACCAGCCTTTTGAACTCCCCAATCTCCTCAATCCCTGGGCCCAGCCCAAGCTGGGAAGGGGGTTCTCCATACCCTTCCAGTGTCCCTCCCCTAAGGAAGACTTCCCCTGCTGGCACACTGAGTCCCCTAGCCTCTTTGGCTCACAGGATGCATAGTAAACCCCTTCTCACCCATCCTGACACACCAAGGATGGTGGAGGGCAAGAGCTGAGCTTGCCTTGTCTTCGTTATCTAAATGACCAAGATCAAAGCAAACAGGACCCACACCAGTACCTGAGGCCCTTCCTCCTCCTGTTTTGAGAGCATTTTTGTCCCCATCTCCCAATAATAGGACTTTTGGGGATCCCTAATACCCAAACTCTAAGCCTAACTCAGACTCCACAGAAAGGCTGGAATCTATAGAATTACTTCATCTTGACTACTGTGGTAGGCCAACCCTGACTCGAGCCACTAGGCCCTCGTGTGGCATGTGGGAGGGGAACGGGGGACCCTCACCTGCCCCAGGCAAGGCTGGGCTGAAGACGCCCTCGATGGTCTCGCAGGAACTGCCGTCACCTCCACATACTCGGCACTTGTCCTCCCTCAGGTCAGAACCCAGGACTCGGTCACAGCCCACGTGCTACAAGGGAAAGGTGCTGGTGTGTGTGTGTGTGTGTGCGCGTGTATTTTGGAGATGCCCGACCCCTCTCCTTCTCCTGGGAATCTCCACTTACCTTGCACTCACCGCTGACACAAATGTCCACAGTGTCCGGGCGGCAGGGTGTCCCGTCCACCACGGCCGCCGCTCTCTCCGTGTAAAAGTTGAAACCCTCTGCTAGGCAAGTCAGGGAACAGGCCTTCACGCCCCCTGGGGGGCATAGACCAATCAGACCTGGGGCCAGGCCACCCTTGGAAGTCCCTGTCTGTTTCATAGGAAGAATCGAGGCTAAGGACAGACCCTAGACCCAACACCAAGGCTGGGGTGGGTGGAGGATACATCCAGCCCCCATTCACCACATCCTGGGCATGCTTTCCTTGGGAAGAACCTTGGAATGCTGGATGCTTCCCATAGCTTCCCTTCACCACCCCTAAACCCTCAGGGGCTCCCTACTCACCCCCTCGGTATGTCTTCCATGTGTAGAATTTTCCACGGAAAGGGATACTGTCAAACTCAGAACACTGCATTTCCCTGAAATCCTGGGAGCCAGGAGGACAGTCCTGGGGAAGGGAGAGGGAAGAAATTGGGGCACAGAAGAGATGCTAAGCTTGGCACGGATCAGATGAAGGCAGAGAGACTAAGGAGGAGGCTGCAATGGTCCAGGACAGACTTGATGGTGACCCATGCTAGATGTCCAGGTGATGGAAGCAGATGACCCATTAGAGGCTAGGGGTGATGACTGGGTTCTTCATGAATGAGAGCACATAAACCCCCAGAGACATGACTCCTCAGGTGGTGGTGGGGAGGGAAGAAAGGCCCCTGCTCCCTCCAAACTCTTTGTGCTGTCTGAGCATCCTCTCCTCCTCCTGTAAGCCTCTGGCTTACATGTGTTTATCTAAAACTCTCTACACATGAGACTCAGCCATGGGCATTGCGTTAGAAAGGAATAGAAGAGAAAATTCCAGAGAGACGCAAAGATGGTCACTCCTGGTAAGATATAGGCACAAACAGAAGCAAAAAAGAAGAAAGGGAGCAAGAAGCAAACAAGCCAGCCAGGCTCCAGGTCTGGAGAGAGGAGGGTCAGTCAAGTTTGGGGGGGGAGGGAAGGATGACAACAAGGGGACAAGGGCTTGGCTTTGGGGGAAGTTGGGCTGTGAAGGAAGAGCCACACACTGGAATGGATCTCGCTTATGAGGACAGAACAATTATTTGGGGGGAGGGGAGGGCAAGCAAGGGACATTCCTCTAGTAAAAGAATGTAAAGACTAGAGGTAGAGCTGGGTGCGGGTACTCATGCCTATAATCTTAGACACACAGGAGGCTTTGAGATTTGTGGTTTGAAAGTAGCTGGCAGGAAAGTTTATGACATATTTGTGTGTGTGTGTTGGTCATGGGGTTTGAACTCTGGTCCTGGGCCTTGTTCCTCAGCTCAAGGTGAGTGCTCTACCACTTGAGCCACTGCACCACTTCCAGTTTTCTGGGAGGTTCTCGGGAGAGAAGAGTCTCATGGACTTTCCTAACCCGGCTGGCTTTGAACCATGAGACTCAGAGCTCAGCTTCCTGAGTAGCTAGGATTACAGGTGTGAGCCACTGGTGCCCAGTTTATGATACTTTTATCTCCAATTAACCAGCAAAAAGCTGGAAGTGGAGCTGTGACTCAAGTGGTAAAACACCAACTTTCAGCCAAAAAGCTTAGGGCAGAAGCCGAAATTCAAGCCCCAGTACCACCCTCCCCCTCACCCCACCAAAAAAAAAAGAAGAAAAAAACTACTGGAGGAAAGGGGTAGCTGGAGAGAGACCCAAGCTTAGGGAGGAAATGGGTGGAGAGGAACAGGGTCGGGTAAGGTTGGGGCAGGTACCTGGGGAATTCAGGAAGCGGTCTGGGGTGCCAGGGATCTCACCTCGGTGTTGCAGGAGCGGTGGCGCCGCCTCTCCCCTAGACAGTACTTGCCCCCGATGGTTGGCCTGGAAGTGGGGGAGACCCGAAAGAGATGGTGTGTGTGTGTGTGGGGGGGAGGACAATGGGTTTGGGGAGGGGAGCATCTCACCCGGCTCTTTCCTGAGGACTGACCTGGGGCTGTCACAGTGGCGGCTGGACGTGGACACACCGCCGCCACACGTCCTGCTGCAGTCACCCCACGGGGCCCAGGGGCCCCAGGCCCCGTCTACGCCCTCTGGTCGCGATCCGAAGGGGACACACACCCGCTTGTAGCACCACTGGGCAACAGGGGTGGGGGAAACGGGATGGGGAGCTCAGGGTCCGTCCCCCTCTTCCGCCCCCAGCTGCAGTCCCTCTGGACGAGGCCGGGTGGACAGAGGTACAGGGTCTAAGGACTTTGGGGATCGGCTGGAGCATCAAGGCACAGCCAGGAAGCCGCCACCACCAGACAGAGGTGCGGCTGGAGTGAGCGGTGAGGGGCGTGGCTTGAGTGAGCGGGGGCGTGGCCTCGGGCCCGGGACGAGCGAGCGGCGCCGAGGGGCGTGGCTTCGGAATCGGGAAGGGCAAACCAGGACAAGATCCACAAATGGGGGCGTGGCCAAGGCAGAGGGAACCTCTTACGCGCAGGGGGCGTGGCCCCGAGCCGAAGGCGGGGCCCGCGCTCACCCCCTTGTCGATGGTGTGCGTCTGGCACAGCGTGCCTTCGGCGGCCGGGATGCTGTTGGTGATGCACCGGTTGCTCTTGCTGAGACACCAAAGCTCGCTGCAGACCTCCTGCGGGCCAAGGCGCCCGCTCAGGCTCGACCCTCCACACCCCAGTCCTTGGGAGCTGCCTCTCTTGCTCGAAAGGACTCAGTGCTATCCTGGGTCCCCTTTGGACTTGTCTGCTAACAATCTATGCTTTGTGGAGCCCCTTGGTATACTATGGATCAATCCTCTGGGTGAGCTTATTTGCATTTTTATCAAGGTTCAGAGAGGCAAGGCCTTCTAACTAAAAGCCACACTGCAACTAAGGGGCAGCCTGTAGTCTAGTCCAGATCTTCAGAGTGGGATGTTGGCTAAAGCCTCTTAGTGCCTTCTAAAACTTGGACCTGCTGTGGGAAGGGACAGGAAGGAGTCTCACTTTCTTTTCGGACCGGCTAAACAGTGCAGGAGAGATCAGGGGCCTATTCAGACCTTGGCAACCCTGGTCCATGGCAGGAAGCTGTACTAATCTCAGGCGATCACTGTGACCTTTTAGCTCTAGGTACTATCACCAGAGAGAACCAATCAGCACTAGGTTGTAGCCAGATCTTACCTCTTCCACCCTGCCCTATGCTCTCAGGATCTTTCTTCTGAAGAGAGCTCTTTGAACCCAAATGCTTCCAAACTTTGCAGATTTGGCATTGAACTAATCAGTGGCTGTAAGAAGGGACACTTGTAGGGCTAGTTACTATTCAGATAGGGTTTTGCATTTTCTCCCTAGGGTTGGCCTCTGACCTCAATCCTCCTATCTATGGCTTCTGGTATCTTAGGCAAAACCACCATGCTCAATCTTATTGACTGGGATCTGGCAACTTTTTGTCTTGGGCTAGCCTTGAACCACTATTCTTCCAATCTTTACAGGTATGAGCCACCATGCGTGACAGTGAGTGAGGTGAAGTGAGGGCCTGGTTTCTATATTATCTTGGACATATCCTTTCTCTGGAAGGTGTAGAGAACTGGGTAGGGCCAGGACACACTAAGACTGAATCTGAAAGGACTCAAAAAGTGGTATTCAAAGGCTGGGCGCTGGTGGCTCATGCCTGTAATCCTAACTACTCAGGAGGCTGAGATCTGAGGATCATGGTTCAAAGCCAGCCTGGGCAAGACGATCCATGAGACCCTTATCTCCAGTTAACCACCAGAAAACTGGAAGTGATGCTGTGGCTCACGTGGGAGAGTGCTTGCCTTGAGCTGAGGAGCTGAGGGACAGTGCCCAGGCCCAGAGTTCAAACCCCACGACGGACACCGGGGGAAAACAAAAAAGAAAAAGAAAAAAGAAGTGGAATTCAGGAATGGAGAGAGGCGCGCAGAGGAGATGCTGAACTCTGACAGTCAAAGCAGAAGGACATCAAGTTACTAGCTTCCTGGGTTCCCTCCCCCCATAAACTCACTTTTTACAAAACTTTTTTGGGGTAGTAGTGGGGCTTGAATTTAGGGCCTAGACCAAACGCTCCCTCAGGCCTTTTTTGCTTTAGTTTGATTTTCATATAGTCTTCTCTTTGCCAAGTATGCCAAACTCAGCCTCAACTTGTGATCCTCCTAACTCCACTTCACCAAGTAGGTGAGACTACAGGTGTTCACTACCAAATCCTGCTCCGAGCTCACTTCTTTTTTTTTTTTTGTCGGTCATGGGGCTTGAACTCTGGGCCTGGGCGCTGTCCCTCAGCATTTCAGCTCAAGGCGAGCGCTCTACCACTTGAGCTACAGCGCCGCTTCTGGTTTTCTGGTGGTTTATTGGAATAGGAGTCTCACGGTCTCTCCTGCCCGGGCTGGCTTTGAACCGCGATCCTCAGATCTCAGCCTCCTGAGTAGCTAGGATTACAGGCGTGAGCCACCAGCGCCTGGCAGCGCCACTGAACCCAGGGCCTCATGCATGCAAGGCAAGCGCTCTACCACTGAGCCACCTTCCCAGCCCCGAGCTCACTTCTTGATGCACAGACCAAAGAGTTTTGGGCATCTGAACCTCAGGAAACAGCAAAGAACATTCAGGAAACTCACAGCCTGTCCAGTCAAAGACCAGAGCCAGGAGACCTTGTGAACCAGTCAGTAGGGGACACGGGGAGTGAAGACAGTCCCTGGAAGGTTCTCTTCGATTTGTTGCCAAGTAAAGTAGATGGCTCATTCCCAAGGAAACCATTAACACCAAGCAAGGATATTTAGTTAAAAACTGCCCAGTGAGAGGTCTTGGGACAGACGGCAAGATGCCCATCCCCAGCCAGGGATCTCATTTCTGTCCCTGGCTAGTTGGGGGACATCTGTATACCCCATATACTTCATTCCTCCTAGCTCCTCACCTCACCCCCACTTCTTGGCTCTCCCACCCCACTTTCCCAGTGGGGACCCTCTGCAAACCCCTCCCCTCCCAGGAAGGAAAGCAGGAAGGCTCTCTCTACCCCGTATTTACACTGACGCGATTTGACTCCGTGCTGGAACCGACATTGCTCGTCGGCATCATAGGCTTGGCCGGGGGCCACGGTTGGGTACACGAAGTCCTGTCTGGGGGGGCGGTTGTTCAAGCAGAGCCCCAGGCCCGAACTGTGGCGACAAGAAAGGAGCTGTCATTCCAACACCTCAGGGAGGCCCCTTAGCTTGGGGAGACATCTTGGTGGGGAGGTGGCTGCAGCCCCGATTTCCACAGGCCCCATCCCCACTGTGATTGTGGCCCTTCCCCTCCCCCGCAGTAGGACTGGGCTGGTTCCATCCTCACTCCAGGAAGCTGGTGATATAGTCCCGGCTGCAGGATGACCACACGAATGGGTTGGTTTTCATGGTAATGTGGGCGGCCATGAGCTTTGCTGGATCTTGGCCCCTGGCGCCACAGCTGTTCCCCACACCGTCATGGTTCATGCCGAATCTGGAGAGAGGGGTGTCGGCTCTGCCAGACGTTGAGGGGACCCTCCCCCCGCAATGCCTCCTGTCCTCCCCCCTCCTGTGTCCCCCGGCCTCACGTGTGCCCGATCTCGTGAGCAATGGTGAAGGCGGTGGCCAGGCCGATGTCCTCATTGATACTGCAGCTCCTTTCTCGTTCGCACATCCCACCCACGGGGGCCAGGCCTAGGGAATGGCCACGGGGGAGGGGTCTCAGGGGGAGTGTCTTAGCCCCAATTACCCCACCAGGGCTCACCCCAGGGTCGAAGCCACCCTCACAGGTGTCCGGAACCTTTGGGACCCCAGTACCTAATGTGCCGCACGGTTTGCTCTTATAGATGCAGATGTCATAGCTGTGGAGAGAAGGGGGGCGCGCAGTGAGAGGGGTGGCCCGTCTCCCCCTTTGGATGTTGCCATGCCCAGTTTTCGGGACCATCCTGCCTCTAGGAGGTGCTACCTGCTTCTTTCCCAAAACCACATGCTATGCCCCAGCTGGAGACAATCAGCTGGCCTTGGGGAGGCGAGGGTTCCAGTTAAAGGAGTGACTGAATGAACTGAATGAAGAAATGGGACAGCTGCAGGAGCGAATGGGAGAGGGGCTGACAAAATGGGTGAATGGTGAGCAGCTGAATAAATGGGAGCGTGCCTGAATGGAAGAACGAATGGGTATGAATGAACGAAGAAGTGCATGAATGGCAGAGTGACTGAATGAAAGGAATGGCAAGTGAGTGACTGAATGAATGAGAGCGCAAATACATGAATGGGAGAAGGGCGGCTTGGATGAATAGGAAAGTGAGTGACTCCATAGTTAGGGCCTAAACAATCCAACTCTGCCCTCCTCGCTCCTCACATATCCGGGTTCCCAGCCCCTCCCCTAACCTCCATCAGCAGATGTGACCCTCGTTTGGACCCTGGTGGTCCCTGGACCCCGGTGGTTTCTGAGCCCAAAGCCTGGCGCCCTCCCGGCCCTCACCGCGTGATCAGCACTGCCGTGTCGTGGTTGGCCATGCCGTTCTCTGGAATGGCATTGCCGTGGCCGCTGTGGTTCACAATGGACTTCTGCCACTTGCAGAAGCTGTCGAGGGACTTCCCAGCATGGTGGGTGATGTCTAGGGTGGGCTGAGGATGGGCAGAGAGAGGTGCGTGGGTGCCCTGTCAGCCTGGACAGCCCCTGTGAGGTGGGCAAGGCCCTCCACCCTGCGCTCCCCCTCCCCCGCCCCAGCAACCCCTCACCTGGTCCTCAGTGAGCAGAATGAGGCGAGTTACCAGGATGTTAACGATGCTGCCCAGACTTGAGTCCTGGAAAAGTTTAGCAACCTGACCTCCAAGAAACAAGAGAAACCGAGTCTTAAGAGGAGCCCAGGGATGGGAATGTGGCTCAGGGGTAGAGCTCCTGCCTAGCATGCATGAAGCCCTAGGTTCAATTCTTCAGTACCACATAAACAGAAAAGGCTGGAAGTGGCACTGTGGCTCAAGTGGTAGAGTGCTAGCCTTGAGCAAAAGAAGCTCAGGGATAGTGCTTAGGCTCTGATTTCAAGCTCCAAGAGCCCAGATTAGAGATCAGGAACAATACCAACACTATGAGCAGGCTTTAATTGAGCACCTACTGGATGCTGTACCACACAGCCTATGGCCTGTATCCTCTCCCAGGTATGCTCCATTTGCACCCTTACTTTGCAGACCAGAGATCAGAAAGGGCAGCACACACATACACAGAGTGGTGTCATGAAAGCTAGATCTCGGTGGCTCATTCCTATAATCCTGAGTAGGAGGCTGAGATCTGAGGATTGAGGTTGGAAGTCAACCTGGGCAGGAAAGTCCATGAGATTCTTTTTTTTTTTTTTTTTTTGGTGTGGTTGTGGGGCTTGAACTCTGGGCCTGGGCGCTGTCCCTCAGCTCTTCAGCTAAAGGCTAGTGCTCTACCACTTGAGCCACAGCACCACTTCTGGC